CGATATCACAACTACTACACTCGTAGATCTGATCGTCACTGCTTTCGATGTCATCTTCGTTATTTGTTTCATTATCTAATATGATTTAATGAAATAAATATTATATTAATAAAGTTATCATAATAAACATATAGATAAGATTCAATTATTGACACTGATGCGAGTATAATTATTTCGATGTACGTTATTTAAACTTTTCAAAAATATTGTAAACTTATAGTACGCAACATATATGTGTATGCAAAATAAAACAATGTATCATGTATATTGAATAGTAACTACTAAGCTTTAATTTCGGATGTAATAATTTGTAAACTGGCATTTATTATCATCTTGAAAAGTAATTTATTTGGCACATAAAAGATGGAATAACGCTGATTTCGATAAATCACAAAGTTTTTATACGCGCGAACAATAATGTAACAATTATTTAAATTATATTACCACAACCCCTATAATGTTAGTTATTGGCTTTTATCCTATGTAATAACTACCTGAATCGTTTCTCTTTTCTTCATGTAAGCGACAAGCTTTTACTTTATATTTTCCGCCTTGTTTAAATTGTCGCTTCGTCCGCGGCGCCTCTCTCCGATGATGCGCACGCATTCCTTCCTCGCGCCTATTGGCCCGAGTGATCGGCGTCCCCTTCGTGGTCACCGATTGGCCGACCCCCTTCTCGGGTCGTTGTTCGTGTTTGCTTCCCGCGCGAGCCGGGACACTCTTTGTTTGGACTTTGTACTGCTTTGACCTGTCGACTACGCGACAGGCCTAACCTACTGTGCACTACAGTAAAGTGCTTAACTGTGAACTTGACTATTTGCTTGACCTTCCTCTATTATTCCAGAGTTATCTGAGTTGCCTATCCTTACCGATTCTCACTATATCCCCTGCCTTCAACCATCCTGACACAACGGTCATTCCTGACGACCTTACATTCAGTTGGTTGTATTATTATCTCGTCGATAATAGCTGGCAGTTCTTCACCGTCGAATCAATTGAAAGTGTAATGCTTCTCTACTTTCTTCCAGCCATACTTACAATTAGTAACTTCCAATTCCGTTGGGTATTTTAAATGGGCATTTCTCCAGATGTTGCTGATATATATAGCTCGCAATATCTGCTGCTGTAACTCAGCATGACAAGGTGGCAAAGTAGATGCATCAAAATTGGATATCTTTTTTTTGAATTGTTCTGCACTATTTTTCATTTTATACGATTTGCAGAACAACTCAAACCTTCCTTCAGACCTGATTGATTTTTTTCAAGCTGTATAGCTGGCAAACAAACTCCTCCAAAACGTCAAAACAATTTTTGTGATTGGCTGCGTGAGGATTGCTGAGAGAATCGAACGCTTCTTGGAATTTCTCGGAGCTCTGCAGAATTGAAAAAGGCCTCTTTTTCCCTTTCCGGAAAAATGCAGGATTGTAATCGCATCCGGTGAAGGCATGAAACCCCGGCAAGGAACGGGACAAGTTAATTATTTCCTAATTTTTTATGTAGCTTATTCACGTTGACGAAACGTTGATCATTCCCGGTGCCTAATTCAAACCAAATATTAACGGAGCTCTTTAGATATTAAATATTGCCAAGCATAATAACTAAAATATCTGTATCAGAACATCGTATTAACACATTTGAGTCAATATCAATATTGCAAACATGGTATACGATTTTTGTATCAGTCTCCTCATGGTCTGGGCAACTTAAATTGTACTCGATGGTCCGTATAACGTTTCCTTCCCTAACTGTGTATTCATAACATTTGTCATAGTTCAGGTTGACTGTTTTCTGATCAATGTATGCTGCAGCAGCCTCGCTCGCCCAATGCTCAATGAGAAATTTAACAAGAGCTTTTTTAAACTTGATGTTCCGTAGTTCTGCGCCAAAATTGGTTGGTGTAACTTGGTTTGTTCCTGTAATTACGAAGTCATTGGCATAATTGTCACGCAGCAGGTGTTCATTGTCTTTTATAGATGGTTCGCGATATACATCGAAAACTAAAGCAATTCTTCGAGCGTTGTATCTGCAAATAATTTGCAAAATTTTCATAGATTCCCGAACGATCTGGGCACCTCTTTGATTAAATATAGCAAAAAAAAATCCATCGATGATTACGACGTCTAAAGTATATGGCTCTTCATGTTTGTTGACTTCTTTTTCCAAAATTTTTGCCAAGGCACATTTATCAGTTTTGTTTATCATGCCGTCCACATGACACAATGAGAAACGCACAGGTGTTAATGGGTAACTCAAAATATAATAATAATAATAATAGAATTAATAATAGAAGCAATAATGATGAACTTTTTAATTTATATTTTATTATTTTTATATATATGTATTTCATTATATATTATTTCTATTAAACTAATAAGAGAACAGGGCTACGAGCCATAGATTCGTTAAAATCTTTAATTAATTATTTTATTATTCTAATATATTGCGAAGATTATCACGTAATGTTGGCGTTTCGTCCCGGCTTCCACTACTGGACTCATCAGTAAGATATTGTAATGGAAGCCTACCTTAGACACCGGTATAAGTTATTAAATCGAGATTCTCATCACTTGCGAGAATTTGCGAATATCAATAGACCTCTGATGGCGGGTCGACGTATATATTTAAGTTTTAATATTTTATATATATATATATACACACATTTATAGAGCGATATAATTCATAAAAACTTGGAAAAAATTAATTCTTTCTTAAATTTATTTGTTATTTATTCCATTTATTTATTAAGTAAATTGAATTATGTTTTTTAAATTAGGAAAGTTTATGTGTATAAAGTATTATATTTATTATGTTTATTTTTTGTGAACTATAATATCTTATTCAAATAAGCTAATAATAGACTAGAATGAACAATGATACTTGTGGTCAATATTTATAGTCCGTTCTTATTCCAAGACTATTTTAAGTAATATCTTAATATGCTGATACAATTCTATGATTGTGATTTATAACATCTTAAGACTACTTAAGACGGCCTTAAATATAAGAACAGACTATGAATATTGAATACCAACCTATGTTAAATAATTTAAATGGCATACATACTGAAAACAATATATGTTATATTATTAATACACAATTTAATTAATTGAACTATTCAAATGGCAAAATGGATAATAACAATAAAAAGAATTTCTCACTCGATAGATATTACAGTTTAGAAATTTATATCGCACATATTTTAAATAAAATTTAAATTTTATCGCTTTAAATGTCATTTTAGACATTTTTTATATTATCAATTTAGAACATATAACTTTGATTTATCAATTTTTTTGCAATACTATACTTCATACAATATGTACGATATTTTAAACTCATCAGTATCTGCTATAAGCACAAAAATATATACAGAGTAATGTCATAGCACATAGGTTAAAAAAATTTAGTATCATCTCTTTTAAATAAATAAAATCAACTGCAAACGTTTTGCATTGTATATGTTGTGTAAAATTAATATCTTGAGTTCAATAAAATCTTTATCTTTTAGCAGGTATTAAAAATACTTTTTTGTACTATTTCTTTAAATTACTGTTGTAAATTATAGCTGTATCAAAATTACAAAAACTTAGATGACCAACGTTTCTTATATATTTATAAGAAATAATACAAACTTCAAAAAATATCTTTTTTTGTCGTATAAATTATGTAACAATAGTTACTATATATGTTCACTATATAAATGCTGTATATGTTAAACATATACCTTACATTGTCAATAATTAAAATATTTACAATAAAGTACTATATAAGTTCATTTATAGATAAACGAGAAGCGTATATAAGCAATTACGCACGCAGGATTGTCTATAACATTTAATATTTAACATTTAAGCTTGTTTATCTTATAATTTTCTATCATCAATATATGACATTACAATGCAGATGATATGTTGATCATGCTTAAAAAAATAGAATCGTTAAAATATATAGAAAAATTGAATGTTATGTTTATAATAGAGGCATTTGTGACATAGAAAGAAAGATTGAAGACTCTTGATGAGTTATTAATTTTGAAAATATCTCCCAGTCCAAAGTATATAATATTTATGATATACAAACATAATATATTATAAAATAAAAAATTACCTGATTTTATATATAATATTATATAAAACAGCACGTGTGAGAAATAACTTGTAAACATAGTACTGAATTGTGACTATACATATCATATACATACAAGCAATAAAACTTCTCATATATACGAAATATCAACGTGAATGCAAAAAGCTAACTATTCAATCACATCGTGCAACATCAAATATTACAACACAGAATTGTCAACAAAGAAGGAAGCTCATCTGTCTCTAAATAGATATAGTATGTATATTACTAATGATTATGCAAGAAGACAAGCAATATTAAAGCTAAGAAATTCAAATTTCTTCATATAAAGAGGTAATTATTAATATCTTTGAATGCCTTCATGCATGTATTTTGTATGGATTCATTTATGTATCTGTATAAATCTATTATCATTAGGTGTCAAATAAAATACTTAAAAAATAGATAATTGTCAAGACCGATTGTATGTCAAAAATTTGTTCCAATATTATATTTTTCACATGTACATTTCTATAAAAAAGAAATAGTAAACCCCTGTTGCAAAAAGAATTAAACTGAATAAAATTGAGACAAGAGCAATTTGATTGTAATTTCACCTAATTTAAATAGATTTTATACATGCTTAACTCCTGCAATATCATGATCATTTAATTAAAACGACACATGACTGGCAAGAAGGAGTATAGATCGTTTTAACATATTTTAAATTAATTATGCAAATGGAAATACAACACTTTCATTTGTACTTTCTATATGTGAGCCACAATTTTGCTAAATATATGAGTCCTTATGTATTAAGTGTAAACAGCTAGTAGCAAGATAAAACGATCTAAAAATACTTCTTTTACAGCAAAAAAATTGACTGTAAAAGGAAACTATGTATACAACCTTTGTGTACTATTAATTAAGACATGTTACAATTCAAGGGGTACATCACCGTAACTAACCTCCTGTAACAGGTCCTGGGCAGCAATGGCTTTCAATACATTTTTTTTGCTAGTTTCTTGAATTTCCCCACCAACAAGCAACTCGTCTAAGATAAAGTATGCCTTTTCAAAATTGAAAATTATATCCAATTCGCATACCTGATAATAAATTATAAACAATAAATTATAATATGTAATATTACAATAAATTGTAAGGTTTAACTGAAATTTACTTTAAATACATTATTTCAATAACATAATACTCACACTACCAAAATACTTATCCAATAATTCAACATATCGATGTATAATCTCTAATGTTAGTAATTCATTGTCATTCTGTTCAATTGCACAGCAGAAATATAAACTTGCATATCTGTAAGCATAAATAAGAAGCTTGTTTACAATAAAAAAAAAAACTTTCTACAAATCATAAAATGGTATCGCAGATTAAAGATAACTTTGATAAAATTTTGATAAATCAATAATCTGACTATAATAAAAATATTAAAACAAAATTTCTAATAAAATTTTTGTTCCTAATCTAATTTTTTTCCAAAAAAAATGCTAAATAACTTAAAAATAAATTAAATTAATAACTCCATTTATGTTAATTATTAGTTATTTAGAAAATTATTTTAATCAAACAAATGAAATTGCTACAAGTAAAATTTCTAACTATATAATTCTTTGTCCCTAATCTAATATTTGCTTCTATATTAAATAACTAAGATCCATTATAATTCTATTTACATTAATAAAATAATAAAAGTATAACTCTCTATAATAATTTTATAATAAAATAATAAAAGTATAACTCTACAAATTAATCACTAATTAAGTTAATCAAAATTTGATCAAACTAATCTATCTACTTACAATTAAAAAAAAATAGAGTAAATTAAATCAATGTTACAGTTGATAATACATTGGTGGAACCAGGCTATACATCTATTTCTATTAATGCAGAATAACTTTAATATTGGTTTAATTTATTTTTCATCTCTTGATTCTAAGAATTATGCTACAATGAGTCGATAGCTGATAATACCCATATTTATATTTCATAGTCACATCTTATATTTAAGGCCCCTTTAAATTTATCTTCTGACACTCAATAAATTATTTTATTGACTACAAAATATCTAAAGAAGAATTAAAGATGAAAAAGCATTAAATACAAGGCCTGACTAGTGACTATGAATACAAATATAAGTCTTATTGGTGAATCAGTGAAGTTGGCCAATAGTCCACCTCACCAATTTACTGATAAAATTTAAGGCTACCAATCTGTTACAGAATCAGCTTTAGAAAAAGATGAACAAAAGGTTTAATCCAAGATTAAACTATATTGGTAAAAACGGACCTTAGCTTACTATATACATCATTATTGAATCATATACCTTTTGTAAACAACCTTAACGTCCTTCCATTCTAAGAAACTCGACATTTTTGGTTTTCGTGCGAGTATCGTGGTGATCAATTCGCGCGTAATTTTCTTTTTCAACTTATCTGGATGCGCGACATACCACTTCTGTAAACGAAGCTTCCCTTGGCGACTGAACAATAGCATAAATTGCATCTGCAAAAAAGAAGACAGCGATGGTCAAGGATTACCATCGAGTTATGTTGTTGAATTAAGACATAGCGTAAAGATTTACCATATTGTCGCAATCTTGCTATTTCGCGTGTCGCACAATTCTTTATTCTCTCACAAAAGCACTACGCGTAATGGACAACGATCGACGACACCTGCACAAATACGAACGAATCGTACACGTAGAACGTATCACCGGTATCACCGAACTGACCGAGTATAAACTTTAAACTTGGGGCTAATTTACACTGGTCGTATCGTAGCAGCGTCGCAAGTGGCCTGGTTTACATCGTGCACTTGATACGCGTACTAACTAGTTACTTTCTATTAAATTATCTTAATTTAAGCAATGTATTTAAAGAGCGATGAATAAAATTGGTACAATACGCATCAAAATGTTTAACTAAATACGTTTATTGTGTATACATTTACATATATCGCTGAAATTAAGATAATTAAGTTAGTACGCGTACAAGTGCACGATTAAACCAGGCCAAGTCTCAGGCTGCGCACAATGGAGGAACAGATATTATAAATATTAAAATATTAACCTATCAGATACCAGTTACACCGGAATACACGATTCTGATAGATTAATATTTTTAATATCTAATATCTGTTCCTCTATTGTGCGCAGCCCTCATGCGTCGTCTACAATGCACGTCTACAATCTCGGTTTAATTTACTGTTAATCTTTTTCTAATTTTTAGAATTAGAAAAAGACGAGGAGCAAATTGAACCGAGATTAAAAAGTTAATCTACATTGGTGGAAATGGGCATAAATCTCGGTTCAATTTGCTCTGATTCGCACTTCATCTTTTTCTAATTCTAAAAATTAGAAAAAGATGAACAGTAAGGGGCTACGCAGAATAAAAGGAACAGGGAACAGAGAATAAGAAATTATTGCACCCTCATTGCAGACGCCTCGGAGAGAGACGTCAGCTGGGAACGGACTCAAAGGCAGAACA